CGTGCCTGTAATCCCAGCTACTCAGGAGGCTGAGGCAGGAGAAGTGCCGGAACCCAGGAGGTGGAGGTTGCGGTGAGCCGAGATTGCACCATTGCACTCCAGCCTGGGTAACAAGAGCGAATCTCCGTCTCAAAAAAAAAAAAAACAATAAAACACCCCTTAAATGCTGTTAAAGTGATAAAATGAGCCGGGTATGGTGGCATGTACCTATAGTACCAGCTACTTCAGAGGCTGATGTGGGAGGACCCTGTGAGGCCAGGAGGGTGCAGTGTACTACGATCATTCCTGTGAATAGTACTATGTTCCAATCTGGACAACCGTATATAGATGGATGGATGCATGGATGGATGGATGGATGGATGGATGGATGGATGGATAGATGGATAGATAGATAGATAGAGACAGACAGACACACACACACACACACAGACAGACAGAGACAGACAGACAGACAGACAGACAGATAGATAGATAGATAGATGATAGACATAGATCCTTACCAATTCAAAGCAGTGTGTTTGAAAATTATGTGTTTATTGTCTGGGTTGGGGATTTCTTGGGTCTTGCATTTCGCTTGTGTGTTTCAGTGCAGCAGTTGGCTGCCTATTTATGAAATTTTTATTGAGACTGTTTAGAAATTATTTCATTGTATGTCAGTGAAGCAGAGTAATTTTTCAGCATGTGACAACTTTTACTCTCAATATGAGTGTTTGCCTTCAACTCAGGCAGGTAGCAGCTGAAAAACAGTTGCCATCTGTTGGCTATATTGTAGCCCATATGAAACTCTGTGGTAGGTTTGCCTTACTGCTAGTCAATAAATGGATTTATCTCCAAGCCCACTACTATAATCTATTCAGTGATTTATTTAGCAAACATTTACTGGGCGTTCACTCTATGCCAGGCAGTCATAGTAAGGCGAGAGAGATGGAGATGCAAACAAATAAATATGATCAGAGGATGATAAATTCAGGAGTAAAAACAGGAACACAATGTTTGGTGTGTCCAATAGAAGAATTTGACTGTGTTTAAGTTTTCCCCTTAAGTAATCTCAGGAGAAATTCTTAGTCGTGTCTGAAGTGAAATCAACAAGTATTTTAAGCAGAACCCATCTTGGCATTGCTTCTCACAACACTTTCAGTAAGACGTTCAGCTCAAAAAGCAAAACCTCTGTGTCAGCTTTGGAAAGCAGAGAAAATATTTACATTTAACTCAGAGGGATCTGCTAAATGCTAGGTGCTGTGTTTCATATGCCTCTCCTTTGGCTTTGTACTGATTCTTAGATGGCGTTATGGTCCAGATCACTGCAGAGAACATGGATTCCTTGAGGCAGGCACTGAGAGAGATGAAAGACTTCACCATCACCTGTGGGAAGGCGGATGCGGAGGATCCCCAGGAGCACATCCACATCCAGTGGGTGGATGATGACAAGAACGTTAGCAAGGGGTAAATGCAGCACACATCCCCGTTGTGGCTGTTAGTTGTAGGCTAAGCTCTGGGTTTTGTCTGCTGTCTACACTGGTGTTTTATAGTTTTACTGAAAGCCCTGCCTAAGAGAAAGACTGCTTTAAATGCTTAACATCGAATTTTAAATTTCTGGTTTTGTAAGTTTCTGAAGGAGTTTCTATACGTATTTTTGAGAGGAGTATGAGTAGCAGCGTTGATGAAACAAAAAAATCCCTCTATAGTTATTGAGATAACAATACCTGAGCCTTTTATGATTTACCAATACTTTTTTGCCAACATTGTTTTGTTTGATATAGTAACAGGTGTTGACATTTTCATTCTCTAAATGAGTAAACAAGTACCAAAAGGCTAAATAACTTGTCAGGTCTACAAAGCTAGGAAGTGATAAGACTAGCTCTTAAAACCACCTTCTTAGGTTTCAAATCCTATATTCTTCCTCAGTGTTTTGGCAACTCTGATCTAATGGTTCAAGCCAAAACCTTGGAGACATCTTTGACAATTTTCTTTCCCCCACATCCCTTTCTTTCTCTCATACCCAGACATTCAGGGACACACTGGAAAACACTGCATTTATACATTACAAACTGAACTTTGTATCCTTTCTCAAAGGATTCTAAACAACCAAGGTGCTCTTTTTTTTTTTTTTTTTTTTAACATTGTTATTTCATGAGTTGGAAATTAAACTTAAATTCAACTAATTTTGAGTAAATGAAGTGAATGCCTGATATTGAAGTTTAAGATTTGACTTTTAATACATAGAGATTCAAGAACACAAACAGGCTTGAAAATTCTTGGGGAAAGTTTAGAATCTTTGGCCAATCATTTTGAATTCTCATCAGAATGAATGTGTATTTCCACATATTTACGCTTGTTGTATTTCAGGGAGGAAATGCCTATCAGAGGTGGCCTTTCAATTCAGGAATCTAGTAGTGATAATTTAGCACTAAGGGGAATGTGTTATGACAGAAACATAGATACTTATTTTCACCGGCACTGTCATAATTAGCAACTTGGTCAAATAATCCTTTTATTTTGGAGACAGCTGGAGTGCAGTGGTGTGATCTCGGCTCACTGCAACCTCCGCCTCCCAAGTTCAAGTGAATCTCCTGCCTCAGCCTCCCAAGTAGCTGAGATTACAGGCATGTGCCACCACGGCCAGTTGATTTTTGTATTTTTAGTATAGACGAGGTTTCTCCATGTTGGTCTCAAACTCCTGACCTCAGGTGATCCACCTGCCTCAGCCTCCCAGAGTGCTGGGATGACAGGTATCAGCCACCACGCCCTGCTATTTTTTTTGTATTTTTAGTAGAGGTGGGGTTTCACCATGTTGCCAAGGCTGGTCTTGAATTCCTGAGCTCAGACAGTCCACCCACCTCGGCCTCCCAAAGTGCCGGTATTACAGGCATGAGCCACTGTGCCCAGCAAATAATTCTTAATAAATATTTACTAGACTCCTAAATTCCAAGCAGTGGGTCAGTAATGGGAATATAGCAAGCACATCGAGGTGAAAATATATTCCCTCCCCTTCCGAAGTTCATTTGTAAGTCAGGTATGCAAACATGAATAATATATCATGACGAGTATTATTACAGAGTCAGGAGCCGAGTGAAAACAAGATTGAGCAGGTAACCATGCATTCACTGAAAAGGAATCCTGGAAGAAGAGCAGATTTAATTAATCAGTTTTTTTACATTAAAGAGAACTAGGCCAGTCGCGGTGGCCCACGCCTATAATTCTAGCACTTTGGGAGGCCAAGGTGGGTGGATTGCCGGGACTCAGGAGTTCAAGACCAGCATGGGCAACACGGTGAAACCCTGTCTCTACTAA